CAACCACAAGATAACTGCCACGTACAGGGCTGCTCTAAACTGTAGGTTTGGCAAAATCTGCTGTACATAAATGAGGAGAGTTTCCTTTTAAAGGCAACCACATCAGTTAGGATTGAAGCCCTAATTCCTAACCCTCTAGTATCTGCATCAAGCTTGTTCCAAATCGTTGTAACACGTGGTATAAACGAAGATGCAAAAGAGGATGAGTTGAAGCTGGTGTGATACGCCGAAGGGCGGTTATACCGGCTATACCGATACAGAAGAGTTCTAGTTTCTTGTATTACTGTGTTGTAATACAACAGTACAAGGTGAAGAAAAAGTTATGTGAGTTGTACAGGTAGATATAGGGAAGTAAATGAAACTTCCACCTTTACTAATTCAAAGACAATAAAATTTCAGTCAAATCATGTTTTTGAATGCTTCTGTATCTGTATTTGTATTGGTGTAACCGCCTAAGCTTTGCGGGCACGCGGCCATTGGCCTTACTAAAGTTGAATCTGGATACTTAAAGTTACTGATTCAGAAGTTGAATCAAAGACTGGAAACTACTACTCACCTTTCTTTAAACATCTTTCTACACAATCAGTGATGGTAACTTTCCTGCAAAAGAAAAATGAAAATGGAGTAATCTTGAATCAATTGTTCACTTTCATTCTAAAAACAATGTTATGAAATTCAAGGGAATTTTGGGGTATACAAAATGTACTCTGTGCCTATATCTTAAATGCATCTTATGCAAATTCGAACAGTTTTATTTGAAATGGTGTTTTTGTGTAACATTTAATGCCACACAATCATTCATAATTTAGGTGCTGTGCTTAACATCAGCAGTAAAGAGACATGACAGAACACAGTCTCACCTATTGTCTATGAAGTCTGGTAAAACCTTGCGGGAGAAGGTTTGACGAAGACCAGCCAGGCACGACTTACGGCCACTTGCACTGAAACGAGAATCATCTGACATGTTAAATGTATTTAACGTAAATAAGTTACCACGACAGCACGACGTAATGTATTTAGGTAGTTATTTTATATGTATATTAATGTATCAATTCTGATCAGTATAAGAGATTCCAGAACATCTTAATAATTGATAAGCGTATTTTAATGTAAATAACTGATCATGATTTTAATACTTAGTATGTACATTTTAAACTTTGTAAATTCAACACAATTAAGGCCATGTAAGTCTGCAAGTTGAATAAAGATTCATTCATCCATTAGCATGGTCGCATATGGCAGTGCCCATCTGTTTCGTAGCCCTTGGGCCACACAGTTGTGCAATCACTACAGCAGGGGCTAGTCCACTGGTAGTGGTGTGACTCTGTGAGTTTAACTACTATACTATTTCCCACATGCTAAATGCTAAGCAGTATGCACCATTTTTAAATATATGTACCATTTTCAAAATGTATCATTTTGGTATGACTTGGCCGGGATCAAACTCATGACCTACTGAATGCAAGGCGAGGACTCTACCTACTTGGCCATTGCACTGGTAGTATTATCAAATTTAGTACATAGCATTTTTCAAGGCAGGGCTCGAAATCCCTTTTTCCGCATACCTGAACTGGTGCAGGTAACACTTGTAAATTACCTGCACCAGACAAATCTTTTACCTCCACCGTTCAGAATTGAGAAAGTATGGATCATACTGAAAAATGTGCAAAAGCTATAACCATTATTTCCTTCTTACTTATTTAGATTTTAGTTACACACAGTTTTAGATACAGTCAAACCTGTCCAACCCGGCCACCCAGGGGACCAAAGAAAAGTGGTCACCTTGGACAGGTGGTCTCCTTGAAGAGGGTTGCCTCACAACATGACTGAGACACAAATGGTTTCCATGTCGAGATATGTTCTAATGTCAAATGCTGTAAATGCATGTGGGGAGAGTGGCACATGGAACAATTTACCTTGTACAAAAACGTCATCCAGCCAGTCAAGGAAAACTGGCTGGTTTCTCCATGATTTCTCATTAGTTATCATTCATAATTAACATGATTGAAAATGATGTGGTCACCATGGGCAGGTATCAGGCCTTGAGCGGACCCAACTCAGGCCAGGTGGTCACCTTGGACAGGTTGCTTAATTCTTGTGTCAATGGGGAAAATTTTGGGGACCGAGAAAAGTTGCCATCATGGACAGGTGGCCTGGTTGAGGAGGTGGTCTCCTTGGCAGGTTTGACTATTGTTCAGCTCTTAGTCTTACCTTTTCTGAGTGGTTCCATCTATCTGGTCTCTCAGTTTTTCCTCAAAATCTTCCTGGGCCTCAGTTTCATCTATAGCATCAGGAGGGGGAATTCCTAGAAATATAAGGGAACAACATATTGCTGTGTTAAAAAAGTAACAGACATATTTATAACTTCTGTATATCTCACTTGTAATCACTGATCACTTGATAATAAATGTGTAAAAACAGTAGTGCTAGTACATCCAGTTACACTTCACATACGGTCAAACCTGTCTAAGATGACCACCTAGGGGACTGAGGAAAAGTGGTCTTCTTAAACATGGAGACAACAGACAAGACAGAGAACAAGATAACTGCAGCAAAATTTTTACCCATATGACTCAGTGCCATTTTATACATTGCACAAAGACTGTCATGCTGTCAAAATCAATGGCAAACTGGCCGATTCCATCATCGTTATCATTAAAAAACGTTTTCTGTCACATGCTTGGGCCATGTGTGTTCTCAAATAGTGCCGGTCCTTAGCCAAGTCCCCTACGCTTACTTATGGGGAAGAAAATTGCGACAAAGAAAGAAACCCAGGTCATTATGGCCAGCTAATAGAGGTGGTCGCTTGAGCAAGTTTGACTCTTATGAATATTGATATCATATGATTTAAACCAGTTTGCATACTCGTAGGATTTACTTACACAACTTCTGACCCTACATGTAGTACATGTACCTTCTGTTCCATATGTTGAGTCTATGTTCACAATATCTTCTATCTCTTCTGTCTCCTCTTCTTCCAAGTCATCTGGACTAAAGCCACTGGCCATATGTTCAACTAACTCTAACTCAGACCAAAGTTAAAATTGGAATCACCCAAAAGTTTACGACAACCAACCTGCACCCAAGTGCAACGTGACAGAAAAGCCACGTAAGCTACGCCAAATGCTCTTATTGGCCAGAGAAAATGACCCTTGCACCTACTTAAACTAGTCTGAAGGCCACTCGTTATCACATAGCTGAGTAGTGTTGACACAGTGTGTGGGTCCCAGACATGTACTCTTAATATTGATTACCGGTACACGTGACGGAATGTTTTTTTTATTCATACATACAATACATACATACACCATCCATTTACAGAATACTTTAAATGATAACAATGAAATACCAATCATGAGTAATAAAATGATAATCGATAAATTATGTACAGAGAAGTCCCCATTTCCCTCTGTGCTTTTCCATCTTCCCTTTCATTGTTTAGATGAGGCTTCTGCTTTTTCAAAGAAAATTATATATTTAAATTTTAATGAAAGATTCCAAACTGAGCCGTTTAAACTCTTGATGTTTGTTAATATAAATTTTGGCCAATAAAATTATAACATTACTGATAATTGCCCCCCCCCGGGTGAGATTACAATACCGAATATAATATTAAAAGAATTTACTTTTAAATTTTGCCGTTCGATTTTGTCCCAAAATTCAATCACAAGGGGGCAATCCCAGAAAACATGTAAATACGTTTCTTCTTCCAAATGGCAAAATGAGCATAACGGGCTATCAATGCACTTCCAAATATGTAATAATAAATACAGTATGTGACAGAATGTTTAGACAGACTAGTGGCCAATGGAAGCAGAGTGGTTGTCTAGAGGACTAAATGTCGTATTAATATTAGGGACAAGTTTTAATATTTAACTGCACTGTGGTATTCGATAATAAGAACTGATGCATTGTTTTTACACTAATTAATAATTATAAAAATAAATTTTCTAATATGCATTTATCAAAATAATTTACAGTAAATACAATAATACATGGTTTTAATGTCACCTTGGTTTTATTGTCTTTTAGTTTTACCGAGTAAAAAAAGTATGTAGAGCTTCATATTCTAAAGAAAGCCCATTGAAATGTATACAAATAAGGTGTAACCTCTTTCTGACCTGTGGTAACCTTTAGGGAGGTGTGGCATGTCTATTTCTATCCCACAGTGACACACAGTGGAACTCCAACCATTCTCTCATAGTTATTTATAGAAATCACACAAAATGTTACCTCATGTTATTTATTTTCTCACCATAGATGTGTAATTATATGAGGAGCAGACATTTGAAAAACCATTTTCATTTGCTTATTTCCTCCATTTTTAGTTTTCTTAAATTTGTGCTACTGATATTATTACTAAGATATTTAAATATAAGGTTTATGGGAGGTGTTCTTCTTTCTGTGTTGTCTTCTGTATAAAGCCGTCTTGGCCTTTTCTAGTTTGTTTGTATTATTCACTATTATTTTGACGAATTAAAAAATAAATATGTACTACCAACTTTGGATTGCTCACAAAGGTAAGAATAAAATATGGTTGGGTGAAATCTACTCCTACTAGTAATACTAGTACTACTACATGAATTAAGATTAGGCTTAGGCCACACCAATTTAATTTCTTGGTTAACGGATTTTTCTAGAAAAATAATGGAGCGGGCGGGCGAAAAAAAAATAAAAATAAAAACAGGCCTAGGCATCGTATTATGGCCCCAAATGGTACGATAGGAGCCATGAAGTCAACACACCAGGCTGGTTCAAAATCTTAACAATGAATTTTGAACTTTTAATAATACCATTGCATTGAAAGATGGAATAACTGTAACAACCAGGATGAAAAGGTCTGTTTTCAACTGTTCAGGGCAAAATATGAGCATTTTGCAGTTGATTCTGGATTTTTATTTTTATTTGCAAATCAGAAAAAAATGAAGCGGCGAATCCGTTAACCAAGAAATTAAATTGGTGTGGCCTTAGGAAAAAAATAGTGTTTCCAGTTTCCTGACTGACCCTAGAAAAACTGTTGACCCTAGCCTTTTTTGTGTGGACCCCTGCAAGGGACATAAATTTTTCGAGCTGATCGAACATTTCTAGCTCTATGATCTGACACCTGAGTGATGAAACATTGTACAATCGGTTTTCCAACATTGAAAATACAAGCATCATCATGCAAGTTACAAAGTAATAAAGTTAAACAAACTGTCTGACACTTAGAAACGTACCCTCCTCTCCTGTGAGACTGCGCAGGTCACTACTGCTGCTGACGTTACTGGCTGTGTCATCCACCAGGTCAGTGTCACTCTGTTCCGCACTGCTGCGGCCACCTAGACAAAACACAGTACAAAGTTTACTACAAACTTACATTGAGACATACATTCAAGTTCAACAGTTGAAGGCAAATCAAAAGTTCTTGCAGGGTCGAAATACTTATTTTTCTCAAGCCAAAAGTTAGGCTAACCATCAATTTTCGGGTTGCCCCAGTTACAATGCTTCAATGAAACATTAGCTATTATACATGTACTTAGTAAGTTGACAACAAAGAATTCAAACCAATTGAATACACTAGTCTAAAATAAAATCACCCATGATTTTTAAAATGTCTTGTACGTACTCAAGTACACAAGTGTATTGAGAAAAAGAAAGAATGCCAAGAACATACAATTACAAGGCCACTTTGAAGGGAAAAAAATTATTTGCGTGCCGGGAAACATGGCATCTCCCACGTTTTGCACAGAAAACATGACATCCGCAGTGAGAGTGCGAGAGTGGGTACTAGTATTTCAATCCTAGCTTGTCTAGACTCCAGATTATAGATACATTGTACTTCACAGTGTGCTCAGCAGAAAAGTGTTATCAAATACTACCATTATTATAAGTTGCCACTGACTCTAGCCGTGGCGACTCTTGATTCGGGCTTACATTGCATTACCCTCAGCAAGAGTCGTGGAAAGATCCATTGGCAGAATGTCCGCTACCGCCGTCGGGAACGCTCGGTAGCCTTTCCGGTTATAATCGGAGAGCTTTCGGTCGGGCTTCGGTAATCGTGACGCTACCGAGCGTTCCCGACGGCGGTAGCGGACATTCCCGACTATATCCAAGATGGCCGCCAGCTTGTGCCGACTAGCTATTTTACTACTTTTCTGTCGCGCTGTGGAATATTTAGGCTGATCTAAACATCGGCAACCCGGCCAATTGTGGAGTTATATTGTAGGGAAGCTCGGGACAGCAAAAAACCGGGTCAAAAACGGAGCATCGAGCAGCCAACGGGAAATGTGCAGTTCTGCCAAATGGATCTTTCCACGACTCTTGCTGAGGGTAATGCAATGTAAGCCCGAATCAAGAGTCGCCACGGCTACCACTGACTCATGCTCACAACTCATGCAGAAGCATTCTTTACTGACTATGTGCTATGCAGGATGACTCAAAATCATGGAAACTATGTCATCTTGACCGTGGGCAGTTTTATTTTGTACTGATGAGCTATTCATTAAAAATTTTCAACGAAATCAAGATCTTTTGCCCCTCTTCTCACAAACATACAAATTACAATGTAACAGATCTATAAAATTTAAGAATGTTTAGTTAACATCTGTGTCCATAATATCACCAGGGTCCATACTTGATACTTAATAATATTGCCACCTTGAGAAACAGTGTGCTTAAAGATATTTTTACTGCAACATACTTTTGGTATGCACTCCTTCACACATCAAATGTACATACCTAGGGTATGTTGCAGTAAAAATATCTTTAAGCACACTTTTTTATCTCGGCCGCCTGAGCGGCCGAGATATTGTGCCCCAAAATAGGTTCCTTGGTACCTTGGATACTCGTTGATTTCGACCGTGAAAACCAATTTCGACCGTGAAAACCAATGAAACCAATTACTCTGCATGTATACTTTACTTTTGGCGTCGACCTACCGGATGATAGTGTCGTTATTCTTATACAACGAAGTTGACTAAAAAAGAGGAAATGCTGTTTACCACAAAACCATTGTTTTATATCATAGTATGCATTTAATGTTCTAGAATTTCGCTAATAGCTGCTGTAATTGGACCAATAAATCAATGACATAAATTATGTACATTAACCTTCCATATTTGCTTAAGTCGCAAGATGTCGCTTTTGATTGGTGAATAAATCACTGTGACGCACGTAAATATTCACTTGAAATGAGAAATTACCGCCCAACAAAACGGACCATTAGATTCCCAGTGCTGTATTACTCTTTTGTTCTTGTGGTCAACTTGTTTTCTTTGCTTGAATCGCGTAAAAGACCAAGGAAAATACAATGAAATCGGCAATCGGCCCGTGTTACGCGCCGAAATGATGCATTTGAATGGTATATATAAAATGACATAGTTCAGTCACGATGCACCAAAACAGGCCATGAAATGTATCCCCGTATTCCCAACAAGTCAGACCATCACACAGTGGAAAGTTGATCATATCAAAAAGGGTCTGAAGATGAGATTTGGGGCGTCAAAGTTGACCGTCAAATGCATCAATTTGGCGAGGTTTCCGTGTTGTTTTCACGCTCTGCATGGGGGTTTNCATACATTCAACAGTTGAAGGCAAATCAAAAGTTCTTGCAGGGTCGAAATACTTATTTTTCTCAAGCCAAAAGTTAGGCTACCCATCAATTTTCGGGTTGCCCCAGTTACAATGCTTCAATGAAACATTAGCTATTATACATGTACTTAGTAAGTTGACAACAAAGAATTCAAACCAATTGAATACACTAGTCTAAAATAAAATCACCCATGATTTTTAAAATGTCTTGTACGTACTCAAGTACACAAGTGTATTGAGAAAAAGAAAGAATGCCAAGAACATACAATTACAAGGCCACTTTGAAGGGAAAAAAAATTATTTGCGTGCCGGGAAACATGGCATCTGCCACGTTTTGCACAGAAAACATGACATCGGCAGTGAGAGTGCGAGAGTGGGTACTAGTATTTCAATCCTAGCTTGTCTAGACTCCAGATTATAGATACATTGTACTTCACAGTGTGCTCAGCAGAAAAGTGTTATCAAATACTACCATTATTATAAGTTGCCACTGACTCTAGCCGTGGACGACTCTGGTACCCTTTTTGCATGATAATGCCGGGACAGAGTCGTGGTGCAATGCATAGGCCAAAACCAACCTTTGCCGTGCCGGGCCTCATGCAACGGGCCGGCCCCGGATTTTTGGTGTCCCTGGCTTCCCGACGCACTCACCTGCCGGGCCGGGGGATAAGACCCTAAACAAACGCAGCATTTTACCACAACACGGCCTCGGAGCACGTAACTCAATACAAATCATCGGCGATCGGCGCCATTTTGAATTCGGGAATTGGTCTGCAAAACAGGTCGGACCCTGGGTTTACGACAGATTACGTCGTTATTTTCAACTCTCCAACGTTCAAGCTGCCGGTAGCATGACGTAATCTGTCGTAAACTCAGGGTCCGGCCTGTTTTGCGGACCAATTCCTGAATTCAAAATGGCGCCGATCGCCGATGATTTATATGGAGTTACGTGCTCCGAGGCCGTGTTGTGGTAAAATGCTGCGTTTGTTTAGGGTCTTATCCCCCCGGCCCGGCAGGTGAGTGCGTCGGGAAGCCAGGGACACCAAAAATCCGGGGCCGGCCCGTTGCATGAGGCCCGGCACGGCAAAGGTTGGTTTTGGCCTATGCATTGCACCACGACTCTGTCCCGGCATTATCATGCAAAAAGGGTACCAGAGTCGTCCACGGCTACCACTGACTCATGCTCACAACTCATGCAGAAGCATTCTTTACTGACTATGTGCTATGCAGGAAGACTCAAAATCATGGAAACTATATCATCTTGAGACTTGACCGTGGGCAGTTTTATTTTGTACTGATGAGCTATTCATTAAAAATTTTCAACGAAATCAAGATCTTTTGCCCCTCTTCTCACAAAATACAAATTACAATGTAACAGATCTATTAAATTTAAGAATGTTTAGTTAACATCTGTGTCCATAATATTACCAGGGTCCATACTTGATACTTAATAATATTGCCACCTTGAGAAACAGTGTGCTTAAAGATATTTTTACTGCAACATACTTTTGGTATGCACTCCTTCACACATCAAATGTACATACCTAGGGTATGTTGCAGTAAAAACATCTTTAAGCACACTTTTTCTCAAGGTGGCGATATTATGGACCCGAGTGATATTATGGACACAGATGTTATGTAAAATGACCATAACTGGGCAAAGCTGCACCGTTGGCAGCACCAACCTGTTTTTTTTTTTTTTTGTTTGTTTACAAGTTTTTCCTTCCCGTTTTCAGAATAATCAGACCGAAATTTTAGGAAAAGTATGGCCCAGGACGTTACTGTCTTTCTAGGAAGGCGTGACAGAGCAGACGTGGCGCTCGTGAGAATTTCTACGGCCGTGACCACCTGACTTGCGTGAGAGGAATTATTAATATTATCATAATCTAGTTTCTAAGTGAAAGTGAGCGACCCCCCTCCCCCTCAGTCTACCACGTACCTGGGAGCAAGATAACTCTGAGTTTATGGGATCTTGTTGGATATCCCGCTGCACATACACACACATCACACAGGGAACATACACAAAATTATCATACATTTCATATACGGTTATATCACAAATACACTTTACGTATATCCTGGGTAGAAACAAGTCTAACCATATGTAACGGTGTACATTTTTAAAAAATTGCCACCAAACTGATTTTTGGGACAAGGTTATACGAAAACTTACATCAAATGTTGTAAAAATCACAAGAAATATACCGATTTTTCCAGCTTATCTGAACAACCAACCAGTTTGCACTTCTTAAGTGTACAAAGGCGACAAAAAATATATACTAGGCGCCAAAAATTTATGTATCAATGGAGTTGCTAAGTAGAGCAAAGGGACCATACCTTTCTTCTTCTTGTTACCTCTGGGCGGCATTCTCGCGGTCTTACTGGCTCAAATATCGTTAATCAACACTAGAGACTTTCCAGGGAAACTTTCGTATACTAACAGTTCTTTGAAATTCGGCAAAGTATCCTATAAAATAGGAAAAATGGTCTTGAAGATAGAGACGTTCCGATTCTGGTGTCGACATATTTTAGATCTGGGAGATCTGAGGATTTTCACCCTGTTCTAGATGGTCGTTCATACTCAGGATCCTTTACGCCAGTCACAATGCACATACATTTGCAATGCATAATGGGGAAAGTGTTTACATGTAGGGTACGTGGTAAGTCATGCCGGTTGCATGAGTAGTAATGACATCACATCTAAAAACCCTAACGTTGCGCAATCCATACGCAAATCGGAAAAAAATAGCAAAATTAATAGTAACTAATGCTTAAGCTATTTTGAGGGCTTCCGGAAAGAAAAAGAAGCAACTGATGATTTAATACACGGTCTATCTAAAACAAGACGTGAAAGCCAGCTGATTTTTAAAATTTTGAACCGAGGACGATGACCGGGCCACCTGTTTACCGGAATGCAGAGAATGCACCGCAATATACAGGAATACACATCACATTGAGAAGGGTCTACCGAAAATACCCTGTATTTATGAGTTTAAAATTTTAGATTGCTGTAATTTTACATAAGATAACGTATACATGGCCAATGGAACATGGCATCACTAGAAATTTCTGAGTGGCGACCTGGCCAATTGTAATGTTTGTTTTTCATAATTTGTGAATAATTTTCTTATTCCCAGGACCGTCTACGGTATATTATGCCATAATAATCAACCCGGAATATTAACTCATCAAAGTAGGGTGTATTCCAATGTATCTGTAAGTATTCCGATGTATTCTAAATATTCCGCTAAGCAGGTGCACCCGACGATGACCCTTGACATTCCACCAAAGCTCATATTTACTTAGGCGTCTGGGGGGTAGTGACGTGTTTTACGTTCTCCCCTTTCTCTCTTCCCCTCTTGTTGTTTTTACGTCGTTTCTGCACTCAATAATGTACCATGAGGAAGAAGAAAAGAAGAGGATCCCCTGGGCATTGTCATAAAGGCATTGTGCCGTATGGATCGGGGATAAAATCGTGGGATTGACAGATGCAACCGCAGAAAAAAATCACCAAGGCTCCTGTCACAGTATCAAACCACGGTACGTAAATATCCCCCTCCCCGTTTGACTAGGTTTTGTGTTTACGTTTCCATGGTTTTAAGTGAGTTAATTAAAATGTACTTAGGGAAGCCATTCACCTTTTGGTTACACATGATTGTGAATTATGAATGTATTTATTAGCACTTCTTTTGTCGAGCGTGATTTTATTACTTATTCATTGACTGAAGGTTTGGGCCAAGTGATTTTCTTGACATCCAACATTTTGGTGGAAAATTGGGGTTAAACTTGAGGTATTTTTGCTTTTCAACGTAACATTTAACGTTATCTATGTTCTGTCGATCTATGGTTCTGTTTTTTGCAGTTTATACCTTCTATTCTAACATGTGTTCAATATTCAAAACCACCTGTTAACAACACTACTGTGTTCAACGTCGAAGTTTTGCTTTTTCAAAAGTATAGATCTACTTTCCTGTCTTTTAACTACAAAAACAACCAGCTTATCCCATGAGGTTTTTAAAATCGGATTTTCACTTGGAATTTGGATGCAAAGGCTTTGGTCAGTTTGGTGCATTACTTCATTTCGGTCATTTCAGAGCAAGAAACATTTTCCCTCAAACTTGAAGATACCTTGAAGAAGCCTAGGTGTAATTCTCAAAATAAAAACACCAATAGGTAGTGTCTTACTCTTAGTTCTGATGTTAGAATGCAAAAGAAAGTGCCACTTATTGCCAAGGGTAAAGAAGTCACTAAGGCCACACCAATTTAATTTCTTGGTTAACGGATTCGCCCGCTTCACTTTTTTCTGATTTGCAAATAAAAATAAAAACTCAGAATCAACTGCAAAATGCTCATATTTTGCCCTGAACATTTGAAAACAGTCCTTTTCATCCAAGTTGTTGCAGTTATTCCATCTTTCAATGCAATGGTATCATTAAATGTTCAAAATTCATTGTTTAAATTTAGAACCAGTCTGGTGTGTTGATTTCATGACTCCTATTATACCATTTTGGCCCATAATAGGATGCCTAGGCATGTTTTTATTTTTATTTTTTTTATCGCCCGCCCGCTCCATTATTTTTCTACAAAAATCCGTTAACCAAAAAATTAAATTGGTGTGGCCTAAGGCCTAGGGAAAAAAATGTTGTGTTTCCTGTTTCAGTCTAGAAAAAAATAGGGTCGGTCGGTAGGGATTATCTTTCTTTTCTTTTTTTAGACTTTGGCGATCTCTAGTGGTCCAACTTTTACAATATAGTCAAACATAGTAAAACTTGCATGAGGACACTTTATATATTTTCAATGTCAATGTTGGAAAACCTATTGTACAACGTTTCATCACTCAGGTGTTAGATCATGGAGCTAGAAATGGTCGATCAGCTCGAAAAATTTATGTCCCTTGCAAGGGGCTAGGGTTGGCAGTTTTTTCTAGGGTTGGTCGGGAAACAGGAAACACAACATTTTTTTCCTAGGCCTAAATTATGACATTGTGAGGTAGTGTCTTAGTTCTCATGTCAGAAATGGAGGGAAGTACCACTTAATATTAAGGTAAATCATAAAGAAGTAACTTAAAGAGAGTTTTTTTCTTTCTCTAGTATTCCTATGAGGGCAATTTTAACTTAAGAGGAACATGAAAATGCCATTAAGAGAGCCATGTAAGTTAAAAGTTTAAAGAGTTTTTTGAAGATGCGTACTCCCTGTTGGTTTGTTACTATGACAGTGAGAATGCAAATATCACATTAATATTCTAGTTCCACTTGGAACAGATAAAGCATTTTAGGTACAATATTATTTTATGGAACAAATACTTGTGGTAAGTATAAACTGAACATTTTCATGGCACATTTAATGAATTGCTGTAGATGATTTTTCAACAGTGCCAGTTTGATTGTTGCTAATTTATTTTATTAATTCTGCGATATTTCTTTCAAGATATAACATTCTGAAACATCACAGTTGCCACGTCTGTAACGTTATAATACTGTAGTTCATTTCATGTTCGTTATAATACTGTAGTTCATTTCATGTTCATAGTAGCAAAACTTCAAGCTCTGAGAAAAATGGAGCTGTTTGCAGAATTACATGTTCAAGGTGGTAACCTGGTTACCAAACCTATTTTAGCCCCCGAGTACTATTTTCGGAGAGGATGTAGGACTCGGGAGCTCAAATAGGTTTGGTAACCAGGCAACACAGAGGTGGCAGCAGGTGCAGAAAAAGTCAGCAATTTATTCGTTAACAGTAATGATAAGTTCAGGGTACAGAAGTGACCCCGAAAACTGAACAAAAAAAGTACTGTGTAAAAATCAAGAATGACAGTATCTGACATTTTAATCATAATGTTATATTGAATTGTTTTAATGCAAATTCGTGCCCGAGGGCTAATTGCAGGAACAGAAGAAACATATGGTATAAAATAGACAATTAGTACACATAGAACTACTGATAACTACTAAGAAACTATTAGTAAAACTACTGGGTTTGACTTCTTTTTTGAAGACAGAGGAAGACAAAGGATCCTACTTTTTCTGTAATTTGTGGGTTTTCCAATGTTAAGGGGAGAGTAGTTTTTTTACATTTGTATATGTGTGAAAGTTTGGGTAGAATTTGGAGTAGAATTATATTAAGTAACCAATTTTCTTTGTTTTCTTTTTAGATATTGCAGTACCAGATTGAATCTGGATCTCCTGTGATTTGATGCTGCTATAAGATAACAGTAAAGTAAAAACAGCTATAAAACATGGGATCAGGGTCGAGCTCACCCCAGCCTCCCACCAGACCCCAGGCACAGGTCCTACCTTCACAGCAAGGACAGCCGGTACAGCAGAGACGGGGCAACTTCGAGGAGGTACAGCTCCAATATGGACAGCCGCAAGCTGTTCCAGCACATGGCTATGGACAGCCAAGAACTCAAGGTGCATACGGACACCCAAACTACAATACGTACGGCTCTCAGGGTTATGGAAATCCACAGCAATATGGGAAAAGCAATGGATACACACATCATTCTGAGTATGGAGCAGGAACTTCTACAGGGTACGGTGGACAGCAACAGAGACAGAGGGATGATTTTGATGATGACTTGGACGACTGGATTGACCAGAAGAATAGTCAGGTATTTGGATGAAAAAAAGTGCTTCCTTCAAAATGTACATACTGCACCACTGTCTTCAGATTCTTTACTGTACTTACTGCTTTAAGTCAAGAAACAGGTTATGGAAAAAAAAAAGTTCTGTAATAACTTCTCTTGTGGTAAATTATTCCTCTTTTGATCAAATGTGAAGAGTAGGATTACATTTTTTGGAACACAAGTTTATAGCTGTTCCTGTATGCTTGTAAGCTAAGATCTGTGTTCCTTTTTTGCTGTAAAAGAGACTACCGTAAAATGCACTTACGGTAGTCAAGATACAGTTAACGAAAGCAGAAAAAAGTTTTGTTGTAACTTCTCTTGTGGTAAATGCTTCCTCAAAAATTGCCATCAAATTTTAAAAGTAGAATTACATCTATGGGGAACAGAAGTTTCACTATTCTAGTATGTTAGGATCTATGTTCCTTTTATGTTTTAAAAGATTTCTCTTGTGGTAAATTCTTCCTCTTGCCCTCAAAATGTCAAATGTGAAGAGAAGAATTACATCAAATGTTATACTATACTATACTATACTATACTATGCTATACTATACTATACTATACTATACTATACTATACTATACTATACTATACTATACTATACTATAATACTATACTATACTATGCTATACTATGCTATACTATACTATACTATACTATACTATACTATACTATACAATACTACTCTACTCTACTCTACTCTACTCTACTCTACTCTACTCTACTCTACTCTACTCTACTCAACTCATATATATATATACTAAACTATACTAAACTATACTAAACTATACTAACTATACTAAACTATACTAAACTATACTAAACTATACTAAACTATACTAAACTATACTAAACTATACTAAACTATACTAAACTTATAGTGTACTTAGGAACAGAAGTTAACCTATTCCTGTATGCTTCTAAGCTAAGACCTGTGTTTCTTTTATGCTATAAAAAAAGACCACCATAAAATGTGCTATATGGTAATTTAGTTGACCAAATCCTTGTATCATCCACCAGGTGCCATCCCATCAGACGAATACACAGCAGTCATCTGCAGTATCTGAAGACGATCTCATACTAGAAACCTTCCATCACAACGATGGGACACAGTATACAGTGTTACGGCAAAGTGGGCACAGGGCATATCTGGACTGGCAAACTCAGGTAAGTTACTGTCAGGGCTTGAAATTCACTTTTGGGAACAGGTGCACTGGTGCACCTAACCTAAAAAATTAGATGCACAAAAATTTTTTGGGGTGCACCATGCATATGAAACAAAACATAATTACAGATCTTACTGCTCCTCTTCTGAGCTTGAATCTAAAATGGGAGCTAACTTTAAATCTTAAACAAGCATTACAACAAATGTTTTATGATTTTTGTCACACTTAGATGAAAAAAAATATCATATATACTATTGTACATTTGATATGCACAAAGATACCTACCTACAAAAATATTTGGGTGCACCAGTGCACCCACAGAAAAAATTAGGTGCACAGCTCCAATTTTGGGTGCACTAAGGTGCACATGCACCCAGTATTTCGAACCCTGTAGTTGATGACAGTCAATGCAGCTAATGAATGAATACAGCTACATTTGTGTGTAAGAACCTCCTTGGTAAGCCCAATACATGACCACTACCTGCACTAACCTGCATATACCCAGTACATGGACCAGTGCAGGTTAGGTGCAGGTAGACATCAGAAATACCTGCACAGCTCCAATTTTACCTGCACTAACCTGCATAGACCCAGTACATGGACCAGTGCAGGTTAGGTACAGGTAGACATCAGAAATATAACAGTTTACTGTTACAGTGGTCTATTGTATCATATAATCTCTAGTATTTCTAGCCCTGTGCATGTTTGTACTCTAGAAGATTTTAAATAATTGCATCAAGTATATATATTAGAAACTTGTAAGCAATGAAACCTAAAGTTCCTTTAGAGTTAAAATGAAGGAGTATGATAAGAGGCCACCTGGCCACTACAGACTAGTAGTACGCTGAATATTTTTTTTTTGCTGAAGAATTTAGAAGAAAAACAAACAACTGATTGTGTAAATATTGTTGAACACTATATGATACAGTGTGCAGTTCTCTCTTCCTAATCATTATGATATTTTCCTTTGAAGGATTGGGTGCAGTTTCCAAATGAATGGTTGGGACAGGGTCATTTTGGAGAGCAGGACACTCTATTCACTGAACAGGTAAGGCCAAAGACCTCTTTTACTGTCTTTTCTATTATTACTTCTCTAGTTTCCTTTGTGACTGAATGCTTTGCTTTAAAAATACTCAGTACTCAAGTAGAAAAGAAAATTCTTCTTTTGAAAACATAGAAGTACTTTACGTAAAAATGCCAGTACTCTTTGACTTTTAAGTTTTTTTTAAGGGAGTCTGATTTTTTTAGATTCACGTAGGAAATGTGATCTGCCCTCTCCCAAGGTACATCATGCGTAGTGTTGCATTTTGTTACCTCCGCGGCCCTTTGTTTGAGGTGTAACCCTAGACGGAAGGGTTTTCCCGTGCCCATGGTACCCATGTGTAAGCAGGGGCGCTGGTTTGCTTTGTTAGAACTGTGTCAGGCGACGGATCACTTGTTTTCAAAAGTGGCGGGTAAATCAGGCCTTGTTGGGGTAAAAAAAGTGCAGATTACTAATGATACAAGTGCTATATAGCTAAGACCATGATGATTTGAATATATGGATGACATCCGCGTGCGCATGAATTTTTGTCCATTTCCCCATTTGACCATACGGCCACACCAATTTAGTTGGTTGTTTCTTGGATTTGCCCTGTCCATTTTTTTCTGCTTTGCAAAAAAAAAAAAATTTTTAGTTTCTAAT